AGTTTTTCCTGATTGCGAGTGGATTTGATTCAAAAGAGGTAAATCTTAGATTTATCTATCTGTGAAAGTGCACCCGGGAATGAATATATGCATTCTAGAGGGAAAACGCGCCAAAGCAAAATGAACCCAGATGGGTTTGAACAAAAATGAGGATAAAGCTAACCGAAATCGAGTTAGAAAAAGTCAGTTTGATTTGACCTATGATTTACTCGTGCAGATTCATGTTAAATATCTAGTTCATAGGCCAATTTGAGTTGTAACTTTACTAAAATGGAGTATTTCGATCATAGCTCTCCTGAATGTATCTTTTGCTTCACTCCGTTATCAAGCTGATCGAAAGTTTTTGGAAGCNCCATAAAGTATTAGTAAGTAGTAATTAAATGCCGTTTTCTTGGTGATACTGCCAAGCAAGTTTTCTATTTATGCTCGGTTATCAATCGTGTTTTCCATGAAAATCATTTCGAAGCTATAAAATGTGAAGTCTCTCAGCTAGCTAGTTTTGGATAGCTACGTTCCACATGACTAAATCCTTTCAGTAGAGGGTTGGCGATGCTAACGTCGCGTTACCTTGTTTACTTATTTGTTTAGCTCGTTCGAATTACAATTTTGATCATCTCACTATTCGAATGTAATTAGTTATTAGGATTTCATAGAAGATTGCGAGATGAAATTTTGTAAGCTCTATTCATGGAGAACTTTTGTTTATTTATCTACTACCACAATCATTGTTGTCATTCATCGTTTAATTTCGGATCCTAAAAATTTACATGTCAATGAAAATGTACCAGCAAATCGAGCTATGGTTTCCGTTGAATATAATTCAATGACAACAAATAGAATAACGCCACGGAAAATCACTGAACGCTGTCGTCCGTATTCTATACGTGACTCTCGGCCATTTTTTGAGCGTGAACCTAAACAGATGAATCTTCCACGACGTTTTTCGAATCATTCCCGTTATGGTCTATTGAGAACACTTAAAAGCTTGCGATTAGTTGTTGTTGCTTGTGCGCATAATGTGGCAAAAGAGATTCCGCAATTTCGCTCGCATGTAGAACAAATTATTCATCTGCTTCATTCATCGTCGCGTATTCTCATATTCGAAAGTGATTCAACCGATAATACTCTTGCGTCACTACATCAATGGACCACAGCCCAGGTATATACGGGAGGTCGACTAGAGCCAACGATTCCGGCTCGTAGTGAACGCATCGCGTATTGCCGCAACACTCTTCTTCATAAAGCTCGTATGCTTGAGCCCGATTATCTTTTGACACTTGACATGGATATATTTGTTGGTAGCCTTTCAGCATTCCAAACGAATTTCGATTATGACATGAAAGAGTGGTCTGTCATGACAGCAAACGTTGGTGGCTCCTACTACGACATTTGGGCCTTGCGCACATTATCTGAATTGAATCTTAACTATGATGTATGGCAACGAGTATGGGCACTGATTCGCGGATCGTCAAAATATTGTGGAGAATCTGTTGGGTGTGGGGTGTGGGTGTGGGTG